ATTGTTGATGTGTAGGTATATATATATATATATATATATATATATATATATATATATATATATATATATATATATGGGTGACTTTTACTGTGATAGTTATTATTATGTACACACAGTGATGACGATGTTGATGATGGTGGGAAGAGAGGCAAGTGGCCAAAGAAAAGGGTCAGACGGAGGTGACGGAGTCAACCTCTCTTGGATTTTACCTTTTTTTTTTAAGTTAAATTAAAAAGATTATTCTAATTTTTTTTAATATCTTCGTTTCATGATAAAATAAAAACTGGTATCAAATTATTTCATTGAGAATCTAATATGGATTTCATATTAGGGTTAAATATGTTTTTAGTCCCTAAACTATTGACCGTTTCTGGTTTTCGTCCCTCTTCCAAAGTAAGGTACAATTTGGTCCTCAATCTTTAAAAAACGTTCGTTTTAGTCGAAAAAACGAACGTTTTGAGGACTAAAACGAGGATTAAAAACAAAATTTTGAGAACTAAAACGAACGTTTTTCTAAAGAATGAGGACCAAATTGTACCTTACTTTGGAAGAGGGACGAAAACCAGAAACGGCCAATAGTTTAGGGACTAAAAACATATTTAACCCTTCATATTATATAGATTGCATCCAAATATGTAAATACTACGTGTTTAATTATTATTCTAACCCGTAAAATTTCTAAATAAATTCTTAAAAATTAAAGTTTTTTCGTATACTATTTTATATATGTGAATAAATGATAATTATTATAGAAAATTAATAATTTTATTACACGTAAATGTAATACGTAATACAAGAAAATTATAATAATTACAAAATATTTTGAATAAAAATAGTAATCATTTAATTAAAGAAGTATTATATATTATTATGTATAATAAGATATTTTTAAATATTGTTAAGCTGTTACCTTAACATTTGAGTTTCATTTAGACACATTTCACGTTAAATATTCATTAAAACTTAAAAAATAAAGGTAGGGATCAAATTCAAGATAATTAGAGTGTTTAAGTTGATAAAACCATTTATAACATTTGATCTAACTAATCAGTCTTTGTTTGACTTAATTTTATTTAATTACTGGATTACCTGTTTTTTAATTTTGGTGAACCAGCTTGCTTACCTGTTGTGTTCATAGTTTTCAAACAATCCCTCCAACCCTAATTTTCATTTTAATAATTTGTTTAAGCATTGAAAGTGTTAATTTAATTAGTTGGTCATAGTTGGAAGATGATTGAATCAAAAGCAATGTTTAGCAGATTCGCATGTGGTGTGTGTGGATTATAATCAGTAAACCATGTAATTACGTAACCTAATGTTGCATCAGTTTTTAAGATAAACACGATACGTAAATGGAAGGACACGTGGAGCCATTTCATTTTAGGAAAATACTTCCATCCATTAATTACACTCCTCTAAGTACTTTGCTAAATCCAGACACCATTAATTAACAAAATTAACACAGTCATTACACGATATTACCAACATTTCACATGTATTTATCTTTTAATATCATGTCTCTACTTTCATTAACATATTTTATTTTTATTAGTTTGGATTTTCAATTATATGTATAAAAAGCTAGTTAAACTCATTTTATCTCACTGTTTAATCTAAGTAGAGAGAAGTCTTATAGATAAAGAAAAAGTGTTATTTTAACAACATTTAGAAGAAAGAAAAGCTAGAGAAAATTTGTTAATCATATTCATTGAACAATCTTAATCTATTTTAATTTTTATTTATTTATTTGTTCTTTAAACCTTAAAAATTGTTTTGATGTATTCGCTAATTGTATTTATTTGTACTTTTGATTTTATTCGATTTTAATATAAGTTAATTAACTAGTTTGTGCTTATTGAAAGAGTTTTTCCATTTTTAAAATATTAGTTTTGTGATTATTGTTGTCATTTGTTATTTTGTTATTACTTCGTGGAATTATTTTCATTGTATACTTTAATATTTTTTTTGTTATTGTTTCCAATTTTAAGAGTTACAATATATAATTTAAATATTTAAAACTTTTTTTTTCTTACAAGAAAAAAATATATATTTTAACAAAAATGCTAGCAATGTTTTTTTAAAACTTTTTTTCTTCTGTTAATAATTTAAACATGCAATTTTTTATAAGTTCTGTTTTATTGTATTTAATAATCTCATATAATTTAGGAATATAATTTAGAAAATGAAATAAAAGTAATTTAAAACATACATTTCTTTTTTAATCATGTGAAACGATTTTTAAAGAAAAAATAATAATAAAGATCACAATTCTAAAATAAATAATACGTCAAATAAACGATTTTTAAAGAAAAAATAATAATAAAGATCAAAATTCTAAAATAAGCAATACATCAAATAAATTGATTAATTCTATTGATATTATTTCAACAAAGTTCTTTAAATTTAATATACTCAATGATTCTACATTATATCTTAATGTTATTATCTCTATATTATTAAAACAAATACAAGTGTTATATCTATAAAGACATTAAATAATCAAAATCACTCTTTTTTTTTAATTTTTAAATATGTAATTATAAAAATATATAAAAGATATTTCTAACATACTAGATCTTTTAAGATAAAATAAATTGTGGACACTCCTTAGAAAACATAGTTTTGGCTTGGTCCACGATTATATAGAAAATGACTTCAAATTTGGTAAGCAACGGTATGACGAAGGCAAAGAAATGCTTTTCTAACTTTAATTATTCAAAACCAATTTGTCATTAAATTAATACAAAAAGTGGTCATAATCATAACCATCATTATCACTTCATCAATGTTATCAATGTATTAAAGATATCTCAAATAATGGATCACCTTTTTCATATGTTGTCATGGCCAAATAAAGTTCACATAATGGCTATGGAAACCAACTTTGAAATGCAATATCCAAACCAAAAATTACTTTTTTTTTTTTTTTTACTTTTTCACATTCTTTCTAGAACAAATGTTTATTTATTTATTGGAAGGTTTAACACACATAGATCTCGATAAGATATTGTTCGTTTTACACCAAACTCTCATGGATTTGCTTTTAGTACCACTCCAAAAAGCCTTTTATCAATGGAGGTATCTTATGTGTATATAAACGCATGTTTATCTCTTATTTTATTGAATGTGAGATTTTGCTTGTACTTAACTATCAGTGATATTGTTTCAATTTATTCAATAAACTAAAGTTTGAAATTTGGACAAAGAGTTAGTTAGATATAAAATAATAAAATTTTACCTCTTTTACCGATTATAAATCGAGAAAAATCACCTCTCTCTAAAACATAAATTTAACTTTTTTAATAGAATTTTAGATATAATTTATGCAATAAATTTATTTTCAAAATATAAAATAATATATTATCAACATTTAATTCTCCCATCCACATAGATAGAAATATGGATACGAATTTAAATTTCAAACTTGATGAAGTCCACATAGACTCAAATTTTCATCACATATAATTGATGTAGCTATATTTAATGAAATCTAACTCATTAATTATACTTATTATATATTTCTGAAAAAATTTAAGATAATAATATTTCGATGGTATATATATTTTATAATAAAAAATGTGCATATAAATATATATAATCACAATAAAATTAAATGTTATATTAATGATTATGTGAAAACTTATTTATTGTGAAGAATTAGTTGCTTTGAAACGTATTTCACCATGAATTATTTAATAAAAGTTCAATGTAATTTTTTCTTAAATTTATTTTATTGTACAAGAAAAAAAAAGATAAAATATGCATACACATATGGTATTTATCAAAATAATTTCTGTGTTTTAGTTGCAAAAATATATTTCAGGAACAATAACATGTGTTGCCAAGTTTAGAATAATTTATAGCATTTTATTTTAATTAATAATAATATATAAAACTAAAAATAAAGATAAGTAGAATTAATTGTACTTCATGAAACATTACATCAGTCCCATAATGATATTTGTCTTACAGTTTTGCTAATTTAAAGTTAGTAATATTCTCGTTAAAACCAATAGATGGTAGAAAAGTTAAAAAAATCTAAAAAGAATATTAAATTATATATACTAATCATGTTCAATTTTTGTTTGTTTGTATGCTTGATTTGTTTAAATATATTGCATGAAAAAAAAACATGAAAAATAATTATTCTTTAAATTTATAGTTAAATTTAAAATTAAGAATAACAAAAGTGTCAATTCATCTTGTTTCGCGCTGCATCCATGAAATACTTGAAATGTCAAAAATAATCTTATGAATTTTTTAATATAAGCCTAATCTTCTTCTTCGTTTTTAATATAATATATATTTATATTTATCTAACATATATATTATGAAAATAAAATAATAATAAAATGATATATTTTTATAGTTTAAAGAAAAAAAAATGAAAAATAAAAAATAATAAAAAATAAATATAAAAAGTTTGTGTGTATTGGAATATAAAAAATATATTTTAACTTAAATTTTTTACATTCATTTATACTATTTTTTTATTAAAAATTATAATATGACACATAAACGTTTTACATTTGTTATAATTTCTTACTTTTTATTTTATTATTTCTTACAAAAATACAAAAAAATTACTATTTATGATCATTATTTTTGTGTTGTATGTCAGACAAAGATAAAATTATGTATCGTATTGTTACTTTGTTTTTATTTTTAAAATAAAAAAGTTTGTTTTTTATTATGATCATTTTATTGAAGATTTAATGTCTCGGTAGGTTCCTATTTTCGGCGTGAATTTAAAATAGGTCTCTTTACTTTTCGGCGTCTCAAGGTTCTTTTTTGTGTAAAATTGTTGCAATTAGGGGTCTGCACAGCCGTTTAAGTTTGGGTTTGGTGGCACAGCCGTTTAAGTTTGGGTTTGGTGGCATGATGAGTGTATTGATTAATCACACATGACATTAAAAACGAGTATAAATTGATTTGATTTTTTTATTAAGACAAACTGGGAAAAAAATTATGTGCAGCCATGCAACTGAGAAATCGAAATCAGATTGGGGAAAAAAATTGGACTCCAAATTAGGGTTCATGGGAGAGAAAAAGAAACCCCAATAATTCTCCAATTCAAACCCTTCAAAGAAATTTCCAAATCCAATTTCATAACCTAACCCCAAAATTGCAACAGTTAAATTCCAAATCATTTTACAATATGAAGAAAGGGAATCAAAAACCACCACCCCCAATTCGCGGGCCACACGCGAGAACAGAGAACTCAAAAACCCCAAATGAAAACCCTTGCCACGAAACGCAGAAACCCTCGTAACCGTAGAGGCATCGCCGTCGCGAGTGATGAACGTTGTGTGTGATCCGCCGGTTTCGCATTCTCCTCCCTGCAACCAGAACTAAACCAGAAAAAGAAAACGAAAGAAACTCCCTCCCTTACGACCGACGGAGTCATCTCTCGTTCCTACTATACCCAACCATACCCCGGAGTAAGAGAAAGGAAGAAATCTCTCTACGTTGCGGTTAAAGCAAAGGAATAGAAAAAGAAAGCGCTTCCAAAGCTGAAATTCTTGATTCAAGCAAAAGAAACAAACGTCCAGAACCCTGAAACTCACCTTCCCCAATTTGATTTCGATTTTACAATTGCACAGGAGAACAGGGCTTTTGGCACTTTGATTTTCCAACTTTGTCCTTGCTTAAATTATACTTCCACTATGTACACTTAATTTTTTTAATTTAAAAATTAAAAAAATATAATTGACACACATTTTTAATACTACATAAATTAAAACTACACTGTAAACATGTCACCTAACACAGCGTTTGTTCAATATGTATCTAGTTGGCAACGAAACTCTCTTCGGTACCTCGATGATCTTACACCACGAAGAAGACAACTTTCGTATGAAACAACCAACAGTTTATATTCATAACCAATGAGTATTAGCAAGAACATAATCCCGACACTGAAACAAGAGCTTAATCACAATTTTCAATGATAATGTTGGAGGCAAAGGCAAAGAAGAATAAAAGCTATACAGGAACATGATCCTGAAACATTACAGAATCTCACCTGGAAAAACCTTACAAGTTGTACAAGAAAGCAGTCTTCTTCAAAAGATAAGAGAAGAAGCAAGAGTGGGATGAAGAAGTGCTCCTCTTATGGAAGAATTGAGCAATGGTTTTCCCTTGATGTAATCACAGCCATAAATCCAAACCCAAACCCATTTCCAGCCAACCCTTCTGCAAGCCACCATGCCAGAACCAAGATCTCTGTACAAACAGATACAATCATCATTGCCAACACACTTCACACTCTCCCAAACTCTCTTCCCTCCCAACAATCTCAACCCCAATTGAAATGGCACCTCATCAACCAAGCACCATTTGTCCCCTTCGCTCAGCCGCCAAATGCAACCACTTCCGCCGCAAGTTCCACCCACCAATCCCAATGCTCCATTTCTCTTCACAAGCGATGCAAACTCAAGCTTTTCAGCCATGGGCACACCCAATTCCCTCCACCCATTTCTCCCAACATCATATCCGACAACACTGTACGCTCTGGCCGAGGTTACCCAATACAGAGTTTCTCCAATGCACACATTCTCATTGGGTGTCCACACCGTCAGTCTCACCGCGAATTCCACCGGCGTCGACCCCACAATCCGCCACGTCTCGATTCTCGAGTCGTACATCTCCACCTTCGTTTCGTACTTTGCGCCACCTTCGGCAGCCTCCGACATGCCACCTGCCACGATGACTCTAAACGAAGGGAACAGAGTTGAATTCGAAGACTCCGAGACTGTGACTCCAACGGCAGGGTTGGTCCTTGCCGCGTGCAGCCGGGGAAGGTGCTTGAACTCTCCGGTGAAGGGGTTGCTGAGACCCAATTGGAGCGTTGTGGAATTGGTGACCCTCAAGAGGAGGAGGCTTCCGATTGAAGCAATTGGTCGAATGGATGGCAGTGGCAGAGAGAGTTGGTGCCATTTGTCTATGGTTGGATTGTGAGCATAACAACATGCTCTGTGGTTGCGAATTGGAAGAGCCAGGAACCATGAAGAGGTTGTTGTCGTTGTTGAGGTTGTTGGGGACAGAGGATATGCTTTGGAACAGGTGTTCCAATTCTTGCAAACTGATCTTGCTATGGCCAGTGAATCTGGGGAGAGAAAGGAGAAGATTTTGGCTAAGAGATCTAAGGGTAGGTTGTTCCAAATTGACATACCCAGAATTGGCGATTTCAATCTAAGGGGTGATAGATAGATACTCTCATCAACTTAGCATATATAATATTTTATCAACGAATTATACTAAGTACCGTTACCAAGAAATTGTTTGTGCTGGTTAAAAATGATGTTTCTTCAAGGAGTTATTGGGTTGAGCAATCGGCAGAGGCCAATAATTGCATTGAAATGTGTGACCCACATGTGATGCGGAGCTCTGTCACCTCATCAACTTGTGTGTGAACTTTGTCACTTTTGAATTTAATATCAGAAACCCAAATTGGATTGGATGGTTCTTGGAGATAGCCAAAGGGTGAGAGAATATGTGCTACTTCAAATTCTCAACGTCAAAATGAAGAATTCGTATTTCCTCCTTTTTGAAAAGCAAATTTGAGTTAGTACAGATCCTTTGCTCTTTTGTGCAAAGGTTTCTCGCTACTTTTCTTTTTTGAAAAAGACGCAGAAGTGTTGCAGGAAAATTGTTTCATTCTCACAAACAGTTGGTGAACAAAAGGATAATGATTGCAAGTATGAAGAAAATGGGCGTGAATTATTTGAGGTAGGAAAAAAGCTACATCTATATTGCTTAATTAATTGAACCATTAATTTGTTGATTATTAGGGCTTTTGCTTAGAACCTTATCATCAACTTAATTAAGATATTCAAAGATAAGGTCATGTAGATTACGTTACTGTCCAGAAACATAGTTTTACGTCTTAAATTGGTGTGCCATGGTGAGTGTCTATTAACATATTTGAATTGACATTATATATTCTATTTGATCTGTGACTGATATTATATTAGTTTCAATATTCTGTAACGCATTTCAATCCAAGATAAAATATAGGTTTTTTCTGTATCTGTGGTTTTTTAATTTATATATCTTTAAATTAATAATCTATGACCATAAAATATTACCATTACAGTTTTAAATTCAAACATAATAATTAAAGTAACATATTTTAATCCTTGAAAGATTAAACTCATCAATCTAAAATTAAGTTTAAGCAAAAATATAGGAGCAAAAGAATCAATTTTCCCAGTATTATTATAGTTACATTTATAATTTTATTAATAAATTACACCGAACCAATTGTTTCTAATCATTCTACAATTTATAAATTTTAAAATTATATATTGTATCGTACTTAGTGGAGGCCGAACGATTAACATTCAACACCGTTCGGTCCATCCACTCAAGATCGTTCGGTTCGCTATGGTCAATCAGGTCAAAGATTGGACCGCAATTAAGCTAACGTTTAAGTTATGATTGGACCAGTGGTCCAACGGATGATAAAATAATCAAGAATATCTATTTAAAGATATTGATAAACAAGTTATAAGCAACCAGCCAGATTTGTAGGTAAGTCTATTTATATTTTATTTTGTTTATATTTTATTAGGCTTATGTTAGCTTAAGATCCACGATACAACTTATAAATAGAGAGCCACGACCACAAACTAGGTAAGTTCAACTCATACTTTATGAGATCCAAATACTCAACTATGAGCGTCGGAGTGAGTGTCTTTTGCAGGTTCTCCCCCTATGCTGGGAAGGAATCGAAGGAGCGCGAGCGACTCATCGAAGGACGAGCGTGCGGTCTATATTACTGGAGAACGAGCCGTAAAGTCATCCAGAAACGACAAAGTTACCTCTCTTGGTCCCACAAAATATCTACCGAAACATATATTAATTTCGTTATTGTTACAAAATTATTTCATACATAGCTTTTTTATAGATAAAAATTGATATTATATATATTAAATATATATTCAATTTTTATTTTTTTGGATGCATTAAACGAAAAACGATTTTATCACACGAGTTATTCTCTCTTACTATATATAAACCAAGAAATGAAGATAAAAGGGGAATTTAGGGTAAAATTGATGTCGTGAAAGTGTTACCTCCTTTTGGAACATCAATTCCATTTTTGTGGGACCTTTCAGAATCGAAGGTCCTTTCAAAGATTTGGAGCTATGGCTTCTTCTAGGAGATGCGCCACCCTCATTTGCTCCATTGCTTTTTCAATATATTTCTTTATCATCATTTTTCAAGTTCCCATTTTCAGGTATCATTTCCCTTATCCCTTTTTCCTTGTTCCTCCTATTTCGTTAATGCTAATCACCCTTATCAATTCCTTCAATGCCATTATCAGAATAGCATAAACAAACCATACAAGAAGAGAGCATAGGATTAAAATGATTCTAGAATGTACGGGGAATCTTTTTTTCTTTTATATATATATATATATTTTTAATACAGATTTTACAGTTGTCTTTTTTGATGTATTGAAGATCCAATGTGCCTTTTTTAAATCATCTGTCAGCAGTAGAATTGAAATCAAATGCATCTTCAATTAAATATTCCAGAAATTAGGGTTGGTGTAACATATAGGAACCATTTTTGTTACTTACATTTTTTTATTGCATTAATTTTCGATGTGTTGATCAAATGTAACACGGCAGAACTAGGAAGCAGAAGTGCATTATCGAGTCTCCAAAATGTTTGACAATTGAAGTGGCTATCAGAAATTTCTAACATTAATTTTTTGTTTGTGATTGCACTGCCATTAGTAACAGGGTCTTATAATTGAGATGGTTTTTGTTCTTGTTTTTCTAATTCCTGCAATTATGAATGCCAAAAGCTTAGAATGAAGTTTTGGAATACTGCTTTTAAATTTTTATCGCGGTGGTGATGGTCACGAGGTCTTGTTTATTTCCAGTGTTCCATGTAGAATTGGAATCTGTAAGACACCGATGGAAGTGACATCTTCTCAGTTAATTGCAAGTGAGGTCTTCCCTCGTTCTATAGTGAAGATCCTTTTCTACCCTGGTGCTGCTGCAAAGGCAATTTGCAATCAGAAAACCATCCCAAGCTACAAAAATCTGCTAAACATTCACCAGTTCAATACAAGGGCAGTGTCTGCTGCATCAGATATCCAACACCTAGAGGTGTTGTGTTGATTAGTAACTGAAAATAATTCCTGTTAGTATTGAGATTAGTGCTAGCAACACATCCAACAACACTACTTCTAAATCTTAACACACTGTCTGTTCTTGGTTAAACTTTTCTTAAAAATTACATAAAATTGTGAGTGAAGTTCATCAGACAAGGAGTGAGCCTTACTTAATTTTGCAATTTACACCAAATTTCAAACATTAATGAATATTGTGTTGAGAGAAGTGAGCCTTACTTAATTTTGCAATTTACACCAAATTTCAAACATTAATGAATATTGTGTTGAGAGAAGTGTGTTAGGGAGTATGTTGCTAGCATTTGGTAATGAACTCCTTGAAGGTTAAGCTTTGACCCTCATTTTGAAGTTGGGTTGGGATTGTCTTGCAGGTTCTTGCAGGAAGCTACTTGTCTGTGGGAGGAGCAATCACAGGGCTGATAAAACCAGGGAGAATGGGCCTTTTTGGAATACTTCTTCTTATGTGGGGTGTCATTAGAGAGTCCATAATGGGAACATCTGGTTTCGCACAAGCAAAAGGCATCCACATCTATCCAGCCATGTATATTGTACTAATCTCAGCATTCTTCTCTATTAGAAAGGATGTCAGAAAGTTAATTCGTACATTCACTCGAAAGCATGTTGTGAAGGTTAAACGTTTCAAATCAAAGGCAAAATGAGACTTGTAATGACATGCATACGTCCATGGCCTAATTGGCTATGATGCCCGAATCTTATAGGTAGGTAGCACTTACATTGCTCAGTGCAATTGCAAACACAGGAATAGAAAAATTCTTAATCACAGGCTTAGTAGTGGTGACTACGCTGCATGAATTTTTTGTATTGTTCATGAATGACAATGACTTGCAGAAATTGTCAAGCGCATTATTGCTGCTGTTCTGAATAGGGATTTGACAATTCTTTAAGATGTGCAAATTAAGTTTATTGTGCACTCTTAGTTCTTTCATTGCATTGATCAAATTCAAACAAAAGGATGCCATTATTTATTTGTTTTCAGAAAGAGATGTATATGAGCTGAGTGAGTTGCAGACATAGTTTTCTTTGTAGAGTGCATTTAATACTGTTCTGAATAGAAAACTGAGAGCATTCTTTAGAAGATGCACAATGCAGCTTAAGATGGGAAGTGTTGGTTCTTTCATTGCATTTGTTAAATCTAAAGAACAGGATGTTTGTTCCCTAAACTCAAACCCTATATATATATATATATATATATATATATATATACTTTTAATATGGTAGTAATTTTATATTTTCGTTATGTTTTATATTATTGCTAAGTAATACTAAACTACATGTGACAAAATCTTATATAAATTCATTAAAGAGTAACATTTTAACGTAAAGAGAATTCCAAACAAGGTTAAATTCATCCAATAATCTGAATCTAACAAAATTTTGGCATTGTAGAGGAAAAAAAATTAGCAAAACCATGAAATTGAATGTAAAACTCATTAGCTCTCGAGTATATTAAAATTTAATTTATCAAAATTTACTTTGAAAATTAATTACAAGCTAACTCGTTTTTCTTTATCTAAAATAATAATCTCATAAAAATTTTAAAATTATTTTATGATATTATATTATACGTTTTAATTAGGTAACGTGAATATTTTTAAATTTAATCAAATTTTGTATCTGTGTCTATATATATAAAGATATTTTCAGTAATAACCTTACAGTGTAAAAGAAAAAAAAAAAAAGGAAAAAGGCTGAAGGACTTACCTACCACAGGCGCCGCCGGGTTCTCTAAACGTCGTCGTTTGTGAATACCTACATAAATTACCATGAACGTTATGCAGAGGAAATTGAGCGAGTTAGAAAGCTATTGAAATGAAAGCAATGGCGTCGTTATTCTCTGCAACTGCAACCGTTATTCCTCGAAACCTCGCCGTCGCTTCTTCCGCCAAACACCCTGTCGGTCATTCTCTTCCTAATTCTTATTCTCCGCCCTTCCTCTCATTCCCCACTTCCAAATCAAACCCTCGCATTCGCCTCACCGCTTCTCTCCAATCCCCACGCGCCCACGCCAGCGCGTCTTCCTCTCCCTCCGCCACCTTCCACGGCCTCTGCTATGTTGTCGGCGACAACATCGACACCGACCAGATCATCCCCGCGGAATACCTCACCCTCGTTCCTTCCAAGCCCGACGAGTACGAGAAGCTCGGCTCCTACGCCCTAGTCGGCCTCCCCGCCTCCTACGCCACGCGTTTCATTGAACCCGGCGAGACCAAGACCAAGTATGCCATCGTCATCGGCGGCGCCAACTTCGGCTGCGGCTCCTCCCGCGAGCACGCGCCCGTCGCGTTGGGCGCCTCCGGCGCTGCCGCCGTTGTCGCGGAGTCTTACGCGCGGATCTTTTTTCGGAACTCGGTGGCCACAGGCGAGGTGTACCCGCTGGAGTCGGAGACCCGCCTGTGCGAGGAGTGCCGCACCGGTGATGTTGTCACGATTGAGCTCGGAGAGAGCCGCTTGATCAATCACACCACTGGAAAGGAGTATAGGTTGAAGCCGATCGGCGACGCGGGTCCAGTGATTGAGGCTGGTGGCATCTTTGCCTATGCGAGAAAGTCCGGCATGATTCCCTCTCGTTGAGGTATTACGTTGTTACCTTCTCCTTCTGATGCCATAAATTTATGACAGAGTCACATTGTGTAGATTAATTATCTAAACTAAAATCGGATGAACGAAAATTTCCAAAACATAGATAGAAAAGGGTCCATGTGAACTTCTTGAAGTGCAAGTGTTCTGGATCCTCCATTAAGGAGAATGAACTATTTGAAGTCTCAAGCCTTGTGGCTCTTGCGTCTGATTGACTAGTCTGTTGTGTTGAGCTATCTTGATGAGAGCCAGGTTACCGAAAAGGTTTGTCTATGTATAAGATCAAATTTTATAAATGACCACATTCATACACATTCTTAAAAATGATGCAGGAGTACACTTTTTGACTCAAGATATTATGCAAGTTTAATAGGTAATCTAGAATAGAAGTTTGATTGCGGTTAATTTTTTTTGTCCACCTATTTTAAACTGATAGGGTAAGAATCTGAGTTAAGTCACGAGTTTGACAACAATGGTCCCAATGTTCTTTTCAATTGGTATTGTAGTCTTTCTTCATGCCTCTGATCTGCCAATCAGTGGCACAGTGTTCTCCAGGAACTAATCAAAAGGTTACTGCACAGCCAATCCACGTGGTATTGAGACTGTGGTGCATGGTGGGGATGTGGGATGTTAGGATCCAATTGTTAGGTGGGAGTTGAGTCCTACGTTTGAGGTATGAATATATTGTGTAGCGATTTATAAGCCATTGGACTCTTCAACTACAGTGACTAGCTTTTGTGGTATAGTTCTCTTAGCTGTCTTAACAAAACCATTTTCAGATTCATTTGACTATGATTGATGTTTTCATTGTATTCTAAAAATGAAAACAATACATCGGAGCAAATGCTATTGTCAATCTTTAGATTTTGTGGTTTGCTTTGTTATTAGCATTGAACAAGAAGATTATCTTCAACTCATTTTTGGAAGTTAAGTTAGAGCGTCTTGATGCATATGTTTCTTTCTGAGTTTCCATAAGCTTGTAAGCTTGGCTCTTATTTACATTTGCCCTTCAGGTTCTATGTTTTCTTTTGGGATTCTAACATCTTCCGTGTCCATTCCACCACATCTATTGGACTGGCAAATTTTTACCTTCTAGATAGATCTTGTCGTGGCAGTAGATATTTGGGGAAGCTGGAAGCGTTCGTGGATTTGTTGGAACTGTGTCACTTTGGCAGCAACTACCCGATTATTTGAGTATTTGCAACTTATTGCCTTCTCGATGCATTTTTTTTTTAATCTTTGTATGCAGTTTAGACATTTGACTGTTCACAGATAGGCTACTGCTTTGTCTTTCTAAGGTGAAAGTAATTTGGATGAAGATTAGTACTGTAGTTTGGCTTTAGAATTATTTTTCTACTTGGGAAAATATGATGTCAAAGTTTGGATGAATGTAGCATCAGCAGGAACTTTAGTATATTATAGTTTGTAATTCTTGCTTTACGCATGCTGATTTGAGAAGTTTGTTTTTAAATAATATAATAGGGGTGGGTTGGAATTTTAAATTGCCAATTGCCATATCGAAATAGTAGAATACAATAATGCCATATTTGCTTCTAAATAACAGCGAAAAAGAAAACTAGAAATATGTATGGGCCTGAGTGTTTTTTTCTTGAATTTTTACTTCAGGAACATGTACCAAAAACTGATCTCGTAGTGCCTGTTATTCAAAACCGTTTATTCTTTTTGGAATTCTTAGCAATGTATTCTCGTGGTATTTTAAAGAACTTGTTTAACAAAAATAAAGCATTGAAATGCAGAAAATTGTTTACTAACAAGAGGAGTAGAATGACAAAGTTTTTCATATTTCTTTGCTGTCGTTTGTTTGTTACATGGACGACGTTTTATGCTTGGAAGTTCATGACTTTCTCGGATGAAAGAGATCAATTACAGAAGCCCATCTTATTGAACTCGGTTCAGGTGGAGCCCATCTTATTGGACTCGGTTTAGTTTAGATGTAGGCTGAAACCAGTCTTTTTGTTTTGAAATTTCTCGTTGTTTTTCATCAAAAGTTAGACGGTGACTAACTGAAAGATTAAAATTGTTGGTTTTTAATGTTTGACTAAAATTATGGGCAAAATTGTTCACACTAAATTAAGGAAAAAAACTGCAATTAAATGTTGATTTTTTTAAAACTTACCTTCAATTGGTGGTTTTTCTTGGTTGGGTTTAGTCAGGAGAAATTGAAGGACTGTATCAACATATTTCTATGTATAAAATTGAAATTTCATGGCAGTTAATATTTTCTACCCAAGAATACAACAAAAACAGAGAAAAGTAAGGGAACTGTGATTGAACAAATCCTGACCTTTCAATTTCTCAAATTTATTTCCTCACTGAAGCTGTGCTTATCGATTCATATCAATTTCTTGACAAATTTTCTTCTATTTATTATTTTACTCATTCCTTTTCTTTTCGCAACGTTTACTTTTACGTCACTATTTGGAATATTTTCTTTTTCTAATTCTAACTTGGGTTTGTTTCGTTATTCTTCTGACATTCACATGTACGTATTTATTCCACGGTAGTATTGATGCAGGGATTTGATATTGTGCCGCCCGATAAAGCAATTACAAATCATACAGAGATGTCTGCATTCACCAATAGCTTCTTCTGAAATCTCATTAGTGCAGACTTCTGCACTCACCAATCGAATCTATTTGCCTCATTTATCATTCAGAATGTTACTCTTTTTTCACGGAACAAGACAAACAAATGACTGTATATATAATAATGAAAGGATTCTCGTTCTCTACAATCAATGAAATGTTTCTCATTGTAAAGAAGAATAGCGTATTTTCAACTTTAGAATTGAGAAGAGGATTTAGATGAGATTTTGAAGGGGATAATTTTTTCAAAGTCAGCATCATTACCCAACTGCACCCAATTAGGAGGACATATTGGGACGAGCAATACGTTAATACATATATTTTTTTTTGACAATATTTACATGTGTCAAATTTTCATTAAATTTAAAATATATTAACAAAATAACAAATAAATAATGAATGAGTAACAAAAATAATACATGTATTATATCAAAATATCGTTAAATCTGTGTTAAAATATTTTTTTTATTGGGACATTCAACTCATAAGCATTAAGCCATGCAGCTTTTTTTAAATGATAATAAGAGTAATACTGAGAATAATGAATTAACAGTAATATAAAAAGAATAATATATCCTACATAATCTATAGTCTAGAGTTGGAGACATTTCTTCGACATAAAGCTTGCCTGAAAAGAATGGGAGACACTTCACTAACATAAAGCTTTCCTGAAAGGAAGACAAGAGTCCTACATAAAAGCATACCTAGTTATGGACTCTTTGGCTCATCTTTTTAATCCTCAATGCCCATCCTTTTTAAAGCTATACTTTACATTCAGAGAAAGGAATCCAATGTGATTTGTGTTTCAAATATGCTACCTAAGCAACTGAATGAAGGACTAATTAGAGGTGTAGTAATATTTCAATTCTTAACATAAAAATTATATTGCAGGCAATTTAAAATGTGTTAAACTTAATACAATACAAAGTTCTTCTAAACAGCTTCTATTATAACTAGCAGTAGTGTTCCATGTCACATCATATACTGTTCTGAGATAACTGTTGATGTGACATAATTAACAGCATGACATGCTGCCAAGAAGTTTTGATAGATACCATTTTCTTAAAATTAATGTGTGGCGTTTGTGAAATCAAAACTAAAGAAAAAGAAACAGCATGGACCTGAATTTGTGAATCAAATAAAGGAATATTCATCATGTAAACTAAAGAAGACATCTTAGTTTTCCTTTTTTTACTCTATAGTTGAACATAACTGTTTGAAATTCTGATTCAAAGTTATTTCAAATATTCTTTTTGTCAACTCAAAGGCATAAAGGTGAGCCTTGTTAAAAAAATTGATTGGTTGAGTTGTGTTGTGTGTAGTACTATTTTGTTTTCAGTTTGCTCATATGACCCCACATGCATACTTAATTTTGATTGGTGTCTGGATTATTCAGAATAAGATGGTCCACTTGGTGAAAGTTAATCAAATGAATGTGATGGATCATTGCATCACCATTTCAGGAAGTACAACTAGGGGAAAAAGAAAAGAGATTCATATTCATTTAAGAAAACCACGCACCATACAATAAATGGAACTCTAACTTCAAAACTAAAGAAAATAGTTTAAAGCACCAAAACAACATTGCTGTAGTTCTTGAGGTAAATCTGAGAAAGATCCTAAGGGATGTAGCTAGCTAGCTTCTCTGTAACATGGCTTTTTAAACCACCTTTTCAGAATTCACACTGTCTTTAACATCCCAAAGAAATTAATAAAGAAATCTTGCAGCATCTCCAGTAATCAATGTAGCTCGCTTTCTTGCTTGGATAAACTCATTTCTACTAGTACGTGTCCCTTGGAGCACTGCATTTAAAGCATTCCATTCTGCTAGCGAAGTTGTGCTCATTGCATCCTGATCTGCTCAATCACAAAGATAAAAATAGAGAAGGAATGAATCAAATTTCTCATAACATAATTGAAAAACTACTTGGGGAGCCATATTTTGCACTGCTAAGCTGAAGGGTAAACCAGTTTTCAAAGTATGCAAGTTGTAAAAGCAGTCAAAGATATCAGTTGCATGCCTAGAACACAACAGTGCCTTTTGTTTTTGTGGTGTTTGTCATATTCTTCACACTTTAAAGACAGCAGGCAAAGAAAAAGCACAAGATGTTCCCCCAGGCAGAACCAAAAATCAAAAGATGGTGAGACACAAAATCAATGAATGAATGACTGACCTGCTGCATATCCAATCACCAGATTTCCAGCCAGGTCTTCCACTGCCACCAAAAGCTCTTGAGCGCAAGATGTCACTGTTGTAGCCTCCAGCCAAGTCATCCTTGAAAGCACCACACTTGAAGCAGCTTGAGCGGCTAGCAAAGTTGTGAGCCCCACAGTTAGCAGCAGCACAGTACCAGTCACCAGGACGAACATCTGACCCAGTTAACCCAAACGAAGACCCTCCTCTTCCTCCAAACGCACCAAAATCAATTCTATCTCCATATTTTGAGTCCCCACATCGCTGGCATGAATCTCTCCTCTGAAAGTTCAGGTGCTGGCATGACCTGCAGTTCCAGTCTCCCGGTCTGCTCATATTTACTTCCCTGCAAATCACTGTTGCATTCACCAAACACAATCATAGTTAGAAGACTCTGTGTGTACACTTTGAACCATGTTTCAAACCATGTTTCAAATGTTGAATACATTTTTCTGTTAGCTTCCTCTGAATATTTATTGCCACATTATGTAATGTGCTTGTGCATAGTACTAGGCACTAGCTAGCTTGCTAGCATCATGCTTATTATAATATTGGGACAAGTCTAAAATAAAATAACTCGGTCTTGGATTAACTTCTCTGAAACATATGAAAACAAGTTACGAGGTGACATAAAATAGCATTCTAGTAGAAGACAGATTGATCACATTACTATAAATGTGACCTTCTGGAGAGTTTAATTAGTGAAGAACTACATAGAGAGTTTTGAAGATTGAGAAAAAATATGAGGGGGGGTAGTGGAAGGGAAAATACAAAGACCAACCTGAAGATAGTGTAGTGAGTTGGAGTGTTAGAGAAGCAGAAGAAGCTGTAGAGGATTTGCTGATGAGAAAATGTGATATGGGGGATGGTTTATATACTGGCAGAGACCACAGAAAAAAGAGAATAAATGGAGTGCCGTGTTGTAGTACTTTTTAGTGTTGTTTGAGTGACAACCTAGATAAATGGAATCAATGAATTCTAAAGGAGGGAAAAGAGATAAAGGAAATTCGTGCTACAATTCCAAAGAGAGCACACTTTGAATTTTGAACATTTACTTTGGAAGTGGGCTACAATTTCATTTTGGTTTAGTTTTTAATGAGTACGGTAATGGATGCAAAGTGCATGTAGGATAATCATTTGCCCTTCAACTCCAAAATCAGATTTAGTTGATACTTGATTGTGCTAGTTTGAACTGAACCAGGTGCTTTTATTCTTTCTTTTTTTTTCTCCATTGTAATAATTTCACAACAGAACGGTTAAGAATGGACTTTAAGTTTAACTCAACCCACAAAACCAGCTTGTAAGATGAGGTTTGTACACACTTACACGTTATAAATCAGTCTTATCTCTAATCGATGTAAGACTTCCAATGAGAACCATGAACATCAAGAAAGACTAATATAATAATGAAAAGATTATGCAATGAAGTCATCAGAACTAGCTATGTTACTTGGTTTCTGTTTCATGAACATAGATCCTAATGGCTTATTGGTTATGTTCTAGTTGCAAAAAATTAGTTGAAGTTATCTTGAGCTACTGTACCTAAACTTACAAATACTGAAAATAACATGAAATATAAAAGGCTATTGGCTAGTACTATTTATGAACTTTGGCACTAGAATATGGTATTTGATGTATTAGGATAGCATAACACTAAATTAGCAAACACTTTCTAATGGTCTATAGTATAGCAGCTAGCAAG